TTTTTGCTTGTCTCTCTGATGTCTGGCTTCATGTGAGACAGCTGCATTCTGTGCTCAGTCTGGTGCTGTACGTTGTTTTGGCTGAAGTCAGTAAAGACTATCCAGCCCCATACAGGCATGTTGTTGAGAAGGGAGGCACTTTCATAACCTTTTCAGGTACTTATGGGTGTTCTCCTTTGATAATACCCCAAACCTGACAATGGTAGTTTCTTGAAAGGTTAGTCCCAGTGATGAATCTGAAACATGCTGATGGACTTGTCCTCTGTCTAACACTGGGAATAGGTCTTCTACCCACACGTAATTCTGTAATATCACGTATGTGTTGGTCATTTAGAAGATACCGGTTCACAGAGTGAAGTCCACCTTCCAAATGTGGACACGTTTTATTACCAAACCCCAAAAAATACATGTATTTATTACATAAAATCAAAAAAATCACCTTTGATAATGCTGCCCTTTTTCTAATTAGAGCAGTCCTTAGCTGTGGGGAAGCTGTTACGCTCATGGGGGCAGATACACGTTTCCAAAGTGCTCATCTTCACTTGAAATCTTCAATTTTATCATCGGCAACAGATACCATTGCTTGTTTTCAAAGTGACAGGCTCGCTTTGTTCTCATTGAGAACGTGTCTGCCAAATCCCAAGTCTGAATAATTCAGTATTATAAGTGAAAATGGCGTTTTATAGAAAAAGCAGCCGGTGCAGCTCTCAGCTCAGATGATCACACAGAGCTGTCCTTAAGGGATCATCAGGCTTCGGTGCCACAGGAGGTGGTGCACCAGCGTCCCGTTGTGTCATGTAGAATAGTACAGAGCTGTGTTGTCAAGGCAAGATTTAGTAACGTTCTTGGTTTTCTGCTTCATCAAAGACTTTTTTTTTTTTTTGCAAAAATATACACAACAAAGCATACGCTGTTTAAACATGTCTGCGAATGCAGTTCAGTGACACTGGTTGTATTTGTGAATTTGTGCCTCCTTTCTCCATATCCTTTTCCACATTATTTCACCATCATCAACACGAGCTCACTGGCTCCTGAGCTGCTCATGGAACCTTTCTAGTTGCTGTTGCCAATTTGATCAACTGCAGATGAATCTGTGAAAGGAGACAGTGCTCAAGGCCAACATTCTTTATTAATTAAGCTGAACTGTTGGGTTTGGAGGTGACTTCAGTGGATAGTTTTGGTAGAATACTTGGATGTTTCCTCAAGGCAGTAGTTTTGGGGAATCGTCCAGCCTCAATGGCTCCAGAAAGTCTGGATTCCATGATAATTTGAAATTCTGTTCCACGTGCCCCCTCCTTTTGATCAGAATTCTTTTATAGAATGTTCATCAAAGACATTCCTAAGTGAAACTCATTTTTGTCTGTGGGTACACAGTGGTGAAGAGTACAGTGATTGCTAGTAGGATTTGAGGCCATTGCCTTCATCTGGGCTGGGGTCCAAATAGCCTGACCCATGGTGGCTCCTGCACCATCAGTACAATGTCAACTCAGTGAAAAGGCAGACAGTGTCTTAGTGTTGTCATGAAAATGGTTTTGAGCTCAGACCCCTTGAAAAGGATCTTAGGGACGCTCAGGGATCTGCAGACCACACTTTGAGAACTGCTGCTTCCAGGAAAATGTTTTGTTGATGTTGTTAGGGGTCCTGAGTATCCGCACTGTCCTGCTGCTGAGGATGGAAATGACACAGTTCCTTATACCATGCAGACCTCAGGTAAAACAGTTACTTGTCTACCAAAATTTTAAAAGCTTAGATTTTTGACATATTCTACCTTTCATTGGGTCCCTGTAAGGGAAGAACATAGCCATAATCGCTGTTCCATATCCTCTACTCCCAGCCTTTGTGGGCAGGCCTGGGAGGAATCAGAGAACACCATCCAAGACCCTTCCAGCAAGAGGAGAGAGAGAGAGAGAGAGAGAGAGATACTGAGATGCAGGAATACGGTCCTTCAGGACCCTGAGAAGTGTTTTACAGACAGAACTACTTAATGAGGTTTGCAAAAAAAAAAAAAAAAAGGACATGGGAGAATGTATGTTTTTAAAATAGAATATAATCCACTTTAATCATGTTACAAGCTGAGTCAGAAACTTAAAAGGCTACATCTGGATTACTGTAAAAGTGTGGGGAAGCCTGCCTTAAAAGTCTATAATGCTTGGGGTAGTGGACGTTTCTTTGTCTTGATTTTGGTTTTGGTTACACACTGTACACATTTGTCAAAATGCATAGAATTGTGTACCTGAAAGGACGAATTTCACTGTCTGTAAGTTTTACCAGTAAGTCTAAGTGCTGTTTCTCCTCTCCCTCTCCTAAAACAAAGATCTGAAATGTTGCGGCAGTATTCCTAAAATAATTGAGGAAGCTGATCGGAAGAGTCAGATACAGAAGCAGATTTTGGGCACCTGGAGATAGAGTTTGTTTTAGCAGTAAAATGCCTTCCAGAATTTCTCCTTTGTTCTTTAATACATTTAATGCTGTTTTAATTCCTTTCTCTCTAATATTGTTTCCTATGACCCTTTCAGCTGACAAGGGCACAGTGTCCTCACAACTGCTTCACATTCTTTCGGGGGTGAGGGTGGTAGAACTTAAAGAACTGATGGTTGGATTTTCTGAAATATTTATTGTATTGTAGGTGAAAGTTTATACAACAAATTGGGTCCCATGTAACAGTTTTGGTACACGTTGTTCCACGCTGTTGGTTACCGTTTTCATGATGTGTCAGCATTCTCACTGTTTCCCTTCTGTTCTACTTCTGTTGATCTCACTTCCCTGCCCCTCCTGGCCATCTCATCTTTGAGCAGATTGTTTAAGGAGCACATTACTTGTGGGTGATATTGTTTACTTTACAAGTCTGTTGTTATTCGGTTCAAAAGTGACCTCCAGGAGTGGCTTCATTCTGAGTTCAGAGTATCTTAGGGTGATAGTCTCAGGGGTTCCTGTAGTCTCTATCCATCTTGGAGGCCTGGCCTTTTCTAGGAGTTTGAATTTATCCTATAGTTTTCTCCCATTCTGTCTGGGACCTTTTATTACGTCCCTGGTCAGAGCAGTCAGTAGTGGTAGGCAGGCACCATCTAGTTCTTCTGGTCTCAAATTAGAAGAGCCCATGGTTCATGTGGGCTGATCACTGTATTTTGCATCCCAGTGTGTGTTATTTGAGATTAAATAAGACGCACAGTGTAATAGATTTCTATTCAGATCCCTATAGATTCTCCGTTGAAATACCTTCTGAGAACATTCCAAAAGAACTTACCGAAAGAATTTTTTAATAATGTTTCCTTGTAAACTTATAATGTGACGTAGATGTTGAAGTTGACTTTTTTCTCATTAGTATGGATTTTTCCAAGTAACTTCACTGTGGTGAGTTGACGCTGGCTCTAAAGTGTGCATTGGAGCATAGATTTTAAGGTGTAAATTACCCTAAATCCACAGAGTAGAAAGGACACGTAATGTTGTAGAGGAAGTCAAGTTCAACATCAATGTTAGATTCAACTGGACTTTTTCTGTCAGGGTGTCTGCAACTCCCAGTTGGTGTTGGAAGAGCCGTCTTCAATCGTGCAGCTAGATTATAGCCAGAAAGTGCTGCTCATCTCCACCCTACAGAGAAGTCTGCTCTTTTACACGGAAGAGAAGGCCGTCAAGCAGATTGGTGCCCAGCCGAGGAAGACGTAAGCCTCATAATTGTTCCGGTTTGGTCTGAATGTTGGATCTGGTCACACAAGGTGCTTACATTTTCCCTGGGTTTCCTCCTTTCCCTCTGGAGTCCACAGTGGCTCTGCGCCTGGGGGCTCCTCATGGAGTCTGTGTCTGCCTAGGTTTCAGGTTGAGAGACTGTCCCTCCTTTGACCTCCCAGCTGGAGGAAGGACAACAGAGACAAGGTTTAAGCCCTACCAGCCACGTGGAAAAAGGCAGCAGAAGACATGGGTGGCCACGATCCACAGTGCCCCTCTCACCCAGAAAATGTACTTATGGAACCCTGCACAGCCAGATCACGTGGGGGCGGTGATATGAGGACAGGGGAGGTAGAGAGGTGGAGTAGATCCCCCTTATCCTGAGAAGGGGTGCGTCAAAGAGCAGAGGTGGGCAGGTGGGCCTCAGTGCAGGCAAGCTTATGGGTTGGGTGCTAGGAGCTGCTGGGGTGCCCGTCTGTGTGTCCCTTTCTGTGCCCCAGGGAAGTGGCACCACTGCCCACAGAGAATCAGAGCAGGATGCAAGTGGTGCTGAGCATGCGGCGTTGAAGCAGGTGCCATGGAGATGGGCAAGCAGGTGGACACAGAAACATGAGGAGAGGCCAGGTGTTGACAAAGGCCACTGAGGCTGGCGACCCCGTCTATGATGGGCCAGGGGGCCGAGGCCAGCAGTGCCCGTCTGTGATGGGCCAGGGGGCCGAGGCCAGCAGTGCCCGTCTGTGATGGGCCAGGGGGCCGAGGCTGGCTGTGCCCATCTGTGATGGGTTGGGAGTTGCTGAGGCTGGCAGTGCCCATCTGTGATGGCTCCGGAAGTGCAGAGGCCAGTAGTGCTTGTCTGTGACAGGCCCAGGAGCAGTTGATGAGGTCAGATGGCAAAGCCAGCCCCACAGCTGCACGTCTGTGCCCCGCCCCGTTCATCCTGCGTCCTGTGCTTGGGAGCCTCACAGTGAGGTTTATTGTCTGGTCTCCATGGCAGGCCTCCAGCTATGGAAGATGCTGTCTGCTCTCCAGACTGAATCCCCTCTTCATTCCATTCACATTTAGCCCTTTTGTACATAATCTCCCCATTGGACCCCTTGACTTGGCAGGATTGGCAGCGTGGGCTCAGTGTTGTGCAAAAGCCCCTGCTGAGTCCACTCTGGCCCAGCCTGCTCCTCTGCCTTCATCTGCAGCTCCTAGCTGTCTGCTAACATTTCACTGCATGGTACCTTCTGCAAGGAGCAACCAGTGGTCGTCGAGTCTACCCTGACTCATGGCGGTCCCGTGTGTGTGAGTACAGCTGTGCCCCACGGGCTTCTCAGTGGTTGTTGGGTCCACTCTGACTCATGGCAGCTGTTCTGGTTCCCTAGTGCTGCTCTAACAGAAGATACCACAGATGGGATGGCTTTAACAAACAGGAGTTTATTCTTACAATATGGAGGCTTTAAGTCTGAGTTCAAAGTGCCAGGCTCTAGGGGCTGGGTGAAAGCCCCTCAATCTTGGGCTTCAGCTCTGCCTCCTGCTCCAAGCCCACTCGAGCTAGAGGCTTTTCTTCACTCAGACAGCTGCTGGCTGCTGAGAATGACAAGCCCAGGGTTGACAAGTAAAAAGGCACAGTCCCCATGTTATTAAACCTCACGGCAGACCACTAATTCAAGTCCACTGAAAGTCCCAAGGTCGGCAGAGCATGGCAGGCTACTGAACAACAACACAGCTACATGCAGAGTTCAAGCGTGCCATAAGCTAGAGACCATTCCCCAAGGCTTCTCCTTATATACAGGAAGCAGACCACGTCCCTAAAGCAGCTTCTCAGTTGCTCACAGTAGATTCCACCATGGATTTGATTACCAGTGTCCTCATGGGGAATAACTACATTCAGCTTCCCAGCCACTCAGCCAGGCCCAGCCAAGTTCACACACAAACGTAACCACCAGAGCGGCCCAACAGAATTTTGAGTGGTTAATTTTCAGAAGTTGATTGCTAGGCCTTTCTTCAAAGCAGCCTTTGAGTGGACTCAAATCACTAACTTTTCTAGTAGCCAAGTCCCTCCCAAGCACAGGGACTTTTGGAAAGAAGATGGAGTTAGAAAGAGATTTACAAGTGGATTCCCTTTCATGTGGATTGTGTACCCAACAGTCTTTCCCTTTGAACCTGGCCTCCTGATCCCTTGTGGGGAGACCCTCTCCTCGTGTATGGAACCAGTCGCATCTTTTCGCAGCATTGATGGAAAGTATACCCAGGCACTGTCTGAGGATGCAGAAACGAATCAGTGTGTCCTTGTGCTTGGAGGAGGGTACACTTTATTGAACTGCAGAGAGGTGGAGGATAACACTAAAATTAAATGGACGAGTTTTAACCTAATATGTCCTAAAGGCTTGTTTCTCTAGGTGCTGTTTTGATGTAGTTACAGCAGAACGTCTGCTGTGTCTATCCCCTGGAAGCAGTACTTCATTCATTATTTAATCATTCATTCATTCAACAAATGTCTGTTGACATCTAGTGTGTACACCACACACAGTGGCATGGCAGTGAGAGGACAGGTGGGATGACAGGTCCCCCCCCTGCCCACAGGGGCTAACATAACAGAAGAAATAGTCCATAAAGAGAACTGTGCAGGTCACAGAAGATGCTAGAAGGAAACAGGGTGAAGGGCTTAAGACTTGCTGGGGCGCTACTTTTGCATCAGGTCACTGAGAAAGGCCGCTGTGGGGACACACTTTGGGAGCTGAAGCCTCAGGTGTGGGAAGGGCTGGTGGACGAGCACCCCAGGCCAAAGGAACAGCAGAGCCGTGGCCCCGGCTCAGCCAGGGCTTGGGATGTTGGAAGAGAGGGAAGTAAGCCAGTGTGGCTGTGGAGAAGTGGGCCGGGGCCCTGACATACATGAACGCATTCCCTGCTTTGGACTGCTGGGAGCACTGCTGTAAGGAGCACTGGTGTGCACATCCTATCTTCACCTCTCTGGGGTATAAGCCTGGGAGTGGGGTCTCTGGGTCAGACGGCAGGACCTTCTCCTGTCCGAGGGGTCAGCCTGGGAGTAGAGTCACTGGGTCAGATGGCAAGGCCTTCTCCCGTCTGGAGGGTCAGCCCAGGAGTGGGGTCACTGGGTCAGACACCAGGGCCTTCTCCTGTCCGGGGGATCAGCCCAGGAGTGGGGTCACTGGGTCAGACACCAGGGCCTTCTCCTGCCCGGGGGGTAAGCCCAGGAGTGGGGTTGCTGGGTCAGGCGCCAGGGCTTTCTCTCTGGGGGGTCAGCCTAGGAGTGGGATCACTAGATCAGACAGCAGTGCCTTCTCCTGTCTGGGGTATAAGCCCAGGAGTGGGGCTGCTGGGTCACACGGCAAGGCCTTCTGTCCAGGGGGTCAGCCCGGGAGTGGGGTCGCTAGGTCAGACAACAGTGCCTTTTGTCTGGGGGGTCAGCCCGGGAGTGGGGTGCTAGGTCAGATGGCAGAGCCTTCTCCTGTCTGGGGGCTCAGCCCGGGAGTGGGGTCTCCGGGTCAGACGGCAGAGCCTTCTGTCCGGGGGCTCAGCCCGGGAGTGGGGTCACCGGGTCAGCGGCAGAGCCTTCTCCTGTCCGGGGTGCCCGGCGGGTCAGACGGCAGTGCTGTGTCCGTGCCTAGCTTTTCAAGGAGCCACTCGCTCAGCCTTTGAGGTGGGAATTCTCTTCCTGGTTTACAGAGCAGGAAGCCACCGTCCAGAAAGTTTGGGTAACTGCCCAGGCCACACGGCTGCTACACATGCTATGGTTGGAAATTGGGCCCAGGTCTCACTCTGCAGGCACTACTGTGTATGCCCTTTCTTCTGTTCAGCTCAGGACAGTGCTTTGCAGGAAGAATCAGCAGGACCGTGGAGCTGAAATTCTGAAAATGTGAATGTGGAAGTCTGAGTGTTGGCACAGATGGGGAGCAGTGACTCCGAGGTCGCTGAGCGAGTGTGAATTGGTACAAAACCAAAAAAAACAAAACAAAACAGCCCATTGCTGTCAAGTTGATTCAGATTCCTAGCAACCCTCTGGGACATAATAGAACTGCCCCATGGGGTTTCTAAGGTGGTTCTGTATGGGAGGAGACTGCCTCATGTTTCTCCCACAGGGTCGCTGATGGGTTTGAACCGCTGACCTTTCAGGTGGCAGCCGTGCACTTAATGCGCTTAACCACTGTACTACCAGAGCTCCCAAATCGGTATAATCACATTGAAAAAAATGTGAAATTGCCTTCTAAAAATGAATATGCCCTTCCTGAACAATTCTACTTCTGAAATAATTCCTTTTTTTTTTCTTAATTGTATTTAGGTGAAAGTTTACTAAGCAAATTTGTTTTCCATCCAACAGTTTGTACACATTTTGTTTCATGACATTGATTGCAGTCCCTCCAGTGTAACAGCTCTCTTCCCCTTTCCTCCCTCTGCTTACCTTTTCCCTGTGTCCTTCCTGTGCATCTCTGCCCTCTGAGCTGTCTCCCTGCGCACATGCTGGCCTTCTCATCTCCTGTGGTTGGTTTTGCTAAGGAGGATACCTCCCTGGTGTGATTGTTCACCTCCTGGGCCTCTCTGTTGTTTGTCTGGAAGTTAAATCACAGGAGTGAATTTGATCCCAGACCTGAAGGGTGACTGGGGGTCATAGTCTTAGAGGTTTCACCAGTCAGTAAGCCTGGTCTTTTTAATGACTTTGAGTTTTGTTCCACATTCTTCTCCTGCTCTGTCCAGGATCTCTAATTTTGATCCCTTTCAGAGTGGTTGACAGTAGTAGTAGTAGCTGGGCACCATCTAGTTCTTCTGGTGTCAGGGTCATGGAGGCTGAGGTTCCCATGGTCCACTAGTCCCTTGGACTAGTTGTTTCCATGTGTCTTTGATTTTCTTTGCTCTTCTTTGCTCCAAATGAGGAGAGACCGATTGTCACATATTAGATGACTGCTCACAAGCTTTTAAGATCCAAGTTGCTACTCACTAAAGCAGGATGTGGAACAATGTTTTTGTGTAGTATGTTATGCCAATTAAACTTGCTATCCCCCATGACCATGATCCCAAGCCTGTGGGCCCAGTGACCCAGTCCTTCAAGATGTTTGGCTGTGGTTAAGAGGTTATCATAATGTTGCCCCTGTTAGCTCTATTATATATATGGACGTTATAGCACATACACATAGGTGCTTAGAAATATCATCTGCCTAACGTATATATAAAAGAGCTCTGGTGGTGCAGTGCCTAAGGCAGTTGGCTGCTAACCAGAAGGTCAGCAGTTCAAAGATGAGGCAGTCTGCTTCCATCAAGATTTACAGCCTTGCAAACCCAACGGCAGTCGCTATGAGTTGGATTCGACTCAGTGGCAGTGAGTTTGGTTTTGGTTTAACCTCTATGAGGTCATGAGTATATTCCCTTTCTCCTCCCCATACCTGAGCATTTTGCCTGTCTACCTGTGTATCCACCTGGAGCTTAATGTCTGTTATTACTGTTAACACTGCTGTGTATGTAAAGCATTTGCCTTGGTCGTCTGTACCTCTTGTCCTCCTCTCCATGTCTTCCTTTTTCCTTGGTGTTACTGAATTCTCTCTCTCTCTTTAAGCCTTTCTGGTTTATTATTCCTTTGGTTACAAATCCGCAGTCACTGCAGACCACGCCCCTGCAGGATCTCCATTCTTCCCTTACCGTCTCCAGCTCGCTCTTGGCCAGCACCACTGTTGGCCTTGCAGCCCTCTGACCTCCTTCATTCTGTTCTCAAGTTCCTGGTACTGTCTCCTTGACGTCTTTTTCTTCTCACACAGGTCATGTCTTGCCGGTGTGTATTTGGGTTTGTTTCATAATATTTATAATTCAAGGAATCATAAATCATGCCAAAGCCAGTGGTCGTACCACCACCAAAGTGGGTTCTGAACTCAAACACTAACATGACGTCTGGTGTGATCTTAGACATTTTGACTAGTTTTTCCTGGATTTCTGTCTTAGGTACTGTTGCCCTCCAAGGGTGCAGAACATTAATGACTGTTTCCAGTGGCGTCATCAGTTGGTCATGAACTTCCTGGTCCCGATAGGTGCTGTGTCATTCATGATGATGGCAGACCTTCCAGCTGCCGGGGAGAAACAGCTCCTGAAAGATGCTCGATAAACTCTTTGAGCAGTGCCAGAAGATGGCTGTGGAAACGCTCATGGTAGTGTTGTTCAGAGTAGTAAGATCCAGCAGTCACTCAGATAGCCACCACCAGGAGAGGGAAAGAGGAAACTGGTAGAGCACTGCGCAGCCGTGACGAGGAACAGGCTGCAGCTCTTTTTATCAGGAAGGACGTGTCTTAGGAACACTGTTAAGTGAAAAAGAAAGCAAGTTGCCAGAGTGCGCAGTGCCATACTAATTTTTTATAAGAATAAAAAACAAATGATACTAAATTATACCTCAGGCGACACGCTCCAGCACCCCGAGTGAGAGCCTCATGTCTGTTTTGGAATACTAGACACATAGTGAAACTATAAATAAAACCAAGGGATGACACACACACGATTCAGCCTCACGGCTGCTCTGGGGGCCAAGCAGGGACTAGGAGGAGCATCAGTGGTGAAGCTAAGGGGCGGGTTCCCGGGGTGCGTTTCACTCGGAGGCTTCACACATCTACGTGATACCTATGTTTGCACATGTTACATATTCATAGTGTTAAAAGATAGGAGGGATAGGAACCCAAGAGTCTGGGAACACAGGCACGGTGCCTCTCGTGGTTATAAGAGGAGATATTCTGGAGGACAGCGAGACAGCAGTCACCTGGGTTCCAGATGTGAGGCTCGCTCACTTGGGGTGCAGGGGTGGGTGGCCTGGGTTCCAGACATGGGGCTCACTTACTTGGGGTGCAGAGGTGGGTGGGCTGGGTTCCAGACATGAGGCTCACTCACTTGGGGTGCAGGGGTGGGTGGCCTGGGTTCCAGACGTGAGGCTCGCTCGCTCAGGGTGCAGGGGCGGGTGGCCTGGGTTCCAGATGTGAGCCTCGCTCGCTCAGGGTGCAGGGGTAGGTGGCCTGGGTTCCAGATGTGAGGCTCGCTCAGGGTGCGGGGGCGGGTGGCCTGGGTTCCAGACATGAGGCTCACTCACTTGGGGTGCAGAGGTGGGTGGCCTGGGTTCCAGACATGAGGCTTGCTCTCTTGGGGTGCAGGGGTGGGTGGCCTGGGTTCCAGATGTGAGGCTCGCTTGGGGTGCAGAGGTGGGTGGCCTGGGTTCCAGACATGAGGCTTGCTCGCTTGGGATGCAGGGGTGGGTGGCCTGGGTTCCAGATGTGAGGCGTGCTCACTCAGGATGCTGGAGTGAGTAGAGCTATTCCAGAGGAGGGAGAGGATGGTCAGACCTGGGTTTGTCACCTTCTGCCTCAGTTTCCTTTCTCTACAATGGGAGCCATGGTGTTTGTTCTGTGGGGCTGCTGAGATGATTAAAACAACTGCAGGGGGTGTGGTGGGAGCCTCTGTCCCGTGGGCTGCAGCTGATGGGCTTTTGAGGGGTCAGATTAGCAGGCAGTGAGCGCCCTGGCCTGGTGGATCCAGGGTGATCCCAGCACTGGGGGCAGTCTGGTAGACCCCGACTCCTGACGCCCCGTGTGCACAGAGCAGGACTGTGCCCCGTGGGGTTCTCAGGGGCTGGCTTTTGCAGTGTCGGGCTAGCAGACAGTGAGCACCCTGGCCCGGTTGATCCAAGGTGGTCACAGTGCAGGGACCATCTGGTGGGCCCCGACTCCTGGCGCCCCGTGTGCACAGAGCAGGACTGTGCCCCGTGGGGTTCTCGGGCTGGCTCTTTGGATGTGCATTGCTAGGCCTCTCTTCCAAGGCCCTCTGGGTGGTGGTCGTAGACCTACAGCCTTTTGGCAGCAGCCAAGCGTGTTTACTGTTTGCACCACCCAGGTACTCGGCAGGGATGACAGTGTGGTTTAATTAACAAAAAAGAAATGGTAGAAAAGGGGGGGAGAATCAGTCTTGTTTAGCCACAAAGATTCCTGGTGTAGCTCCTTTCAGGGGTCTGCAATGTTGCAGTTAAATGAGTCTCTGTGTCTGGTTTTTTCTTTCTTTTTCTCCTCACTGCAGTGCCGGGAAATTTGGTGCTTGTTTTATACCAGGGCTCTGTAAGCAAAGTGATCTGACCCTGTACGCATCAAGGCCTGGGCTGCGCCTGTGGAAGGCTGACATCCAGGGGACTGTCCAGGCCACATTCATCTTAAAAGACGTCTTTGCTGGGGGCGTCAAGCCCTTTGAACTGTACCCACGCCTGGACCCCGCTGACCAGGGGAGCTGCAGCACGCCCGAGAAGCACCTGGGGCTGGTCTCCTGTTTCTCTCAGGAAGGCTGGGTGTTGAGCTGGAATGAGTATAGCGTTTACCTCCTGGACACCATCAACCAGGTACGTGCGGTGCGGGCGCCACCTCTCAGAGTTGGCAGCGCTGACCCAGGACGGGTGCGCTTCCGTCTCTCGGAGTGGGAGAGGGACCCTGTGCTGATTCTGGGGCTTGCCTTGCTCTTCACAGCCCATCAGTGAAGTCAGGGAACGGTTTGGTAATGTTTGTGGAGGAGCTGTCATTGCTCATCATTAGGCATTCAGCGGCTAACAAAAAGGGGCGGGGTTAAACCACCCAGTGGCTCAAGGGAGGCAGACCTGGTGGTCTGCTGCCGTAAAGATCACAGCCTGCAACACCCTCTGGGGCAGCTCTACTCTGTCACGGTGGGTCACACTGATTCAAAAATAGCTTGATGGCACACAGCGATGACGTTTGGAGATTTTAAAAAAATACTTTGTTTTGATTTCACAGCCCTACCCTTGCCAAGAAATGTGTGTGTGTGTGTTTTGGTCTTTTGGGTTTTTTTATTTAAACACAAAATTAAACTTGTCTTTCATCATCCTTTGGTTCGTGTTTTTTCTGACCGACACGTGGCCATGAGCGCATTAAATGAAAACTCAAACATGGCAGGACCAAGGGCATAAGGAGGGGACCCCGTGGCCCTCCCAGGACGGCCAGCTTTCAAGAACGGTTCTCGCCCTGACCCCCTCTGCCCATGTTCCCTGACTTGGTCAGCCTCACTATTTTGCCACTTGTTTTTGTCGCATTTTCTTTACTTCCTGGTGCCTCTTAGACACGCTCTCAGCAGCATAACGTCACAGTGGGCGTAGTGTCTGTTTAAATCGGGGCTGGGGGGATAGCAGATTACTGTTGGAAACGGACTTGGGAACTTTTAAAAAACTGCTGTTTGGTTTTAGTTTCTTCCTCAAGAGCAGAAATAAATAATCCCCCCCACACACCTCAGACTACACACACACACATGGCCTGCTGGTATTCCTCCTGGAACCCAGCAGGCCTCTGGCAGGCACCCTTGTCTTCTGTGAGCAGAGTATTTGCTGTAGAAAAAGGGTTTTCGTGTTTGGGGTGTGTCAGCAAAGCAGTGAAATTTCTAGTTTCCGTCATCTGCTCCTTGCTGAAGCCTCTTGATTACGGTGTCAGCCAGCCTGATAATGCTAATTTGGTAGGAAAAAAAGTCACCTGGGGAGGCAGAGCCAGGCCAGAATCTTCTTCTCTGGTTCGGCCTTCACTTGTTGTGAGTCCTTAAGTGGAGCTCTGGTGGCATAGTTCCTAAGGCACTTGACTGCTAACCAGAAGGCTGGCTGTTCAATCCCACCAGCCACTCCTCGGAAGGCAGGTTGGGCAATCTACTTCCATAGTGATACCGCCTTGGAAACCCAGGGAGGGGTTGCTATGAGTCGGATCCGACTCGATGGCAGTGAGTTAGGTTTTTTGGTTTTGGACTCACGGTGACCCTGCAGGACAGAGTAGAACTGCCCCATAGGTTTCCAAGGCTGTCATCTGGATGGAAGCAGACCGCCACATCTTTCTCCTACAGAACTGCTGGTGGGTTCCGACGGGCAGCCTGTAGGTGAACACCTACGTGCTTAACACTGCGCCACCAGCACCTCGTTGCCTTCAGCTGGGGACCTCTATCTGCCAGCACTGGGTTTCCTGACCTGTACAATGAGGAAGGCAGGGCTCTGAGTTAGGGAATCACCAAGGTCCCTTTCAGCCCCTGAGTGTGTTTCCTTTGTTAAGGGATGTTTTGAAAGACATTTTTGCCCTCTTACCCAGGTACAGAGAACTGAACTTTTCTTCCTTCCCTGATCACACTTAAAATTAGTAGGGTCACGATCCTTTGAACTTGTGTATTAGATCTTTCATCTTTCCGACAGGCATAACTAACTTCATTGTATAGGCAGACAAATGGAGGCAAAAGGACTCCAGAGAGTTAGAGGTCTGTCCATGACTGGGGGTGCCGGCCATCTTCAGAGTACCACATGATTGGCACCTCCAGAAATGCATGGCCTGTTTCTAGCTGGACACCAGGATTATTGAGAATTAACGCATCTCGTGGACTTTATCTTCTGTGCTGTAATGCTCTCTCATTTACACTGTTGACTAAAAGGAAAAACATTCTTTTTTAATCCCTGTGGACTCAGGCTGTCCTGGGTCCTACTTGCCATCTGCTTTCTGGTGATGCTAGGGGCATCCTCCCTCCCTCCATTTAATCCGGAGACCTGCAAAATGGCAGGCGCACACACCATTGGGGTCTAGACATGTCCTGTGCCATTCCAGCAGAGCTCTGCCTCTTTTCACTGAATACCTGTGGGCCTTTTTATTCTTTATTTACCTTTAACCCCTGTTTGACTTCCGTTTCCCTCCCTGCAAAGTAACAAATGTTTTGAGCTGCTGACAGTCCTGGGCCTTGGGGGTGTGAGATGCTTTGGGGAAGCTTCCCACGGGGGTGGCCTCTGGAGAAGGTTGGAGCAGCCTGAGCAGACAGGGAGGGGGTAGGAGGTCACACAGAGGGAACAGCACTTGCCAGAGGCACAGCCACTGGGGACAGGTGCACCTGAAGGGTGGAAGGAAGTAGCAGTGGTGGGAGGCCAACTGGGACAGACAGCAGAGGGCCTGCCACGCTGAGGAGGATGAGCTCGGTTCACAGGGAGCGGGCAGGACAGGGACACGGCTCCCAGAGGGACCGCAGGTGGGAGAGTCTGCGTTCTATCATGTCGGTCACTGTTGACACAGCAGCTTCAGACCATGTGTCTGTCAGGGGTTATTTAATTTTGGGTTGAAATCTGTTAAGGGTTTTCAGAACGTGGTCCTAGCAGAGTGCAGTGACTGTTGGACCTGACTGGATTCTCACACGTGCTCTTACTCTCTACACTGTTCCTAGTGTCTGACCCTGTGATTTTTTTTTTTGACAGGTCACAATTGCAGGTTTGGAAGGATCAGGTGATATCGTGTCTGTTTCCTGCACAGAAAATGAAATCTTTCTCCTAAAGGGAGATAGGAACATTATCAGAATTTCGAGCAGGCCTGAAGGATTGGCATCAGTAGGTTTGTATTCCTCGTAAGTGCTCTGTGTGGTTATGGCAGGTACAGCCCTCTGCTGTGTTAACGGCGCCTGGTAACACTTGCTGTTATTCTGCAATTATTGCTGCTTTAAAATCGCTGTGGCTTCCTTGAAGCAAGGCGGTCTTTGGAGGATTTCCTGTGGTTCCCAAAATCCTCTTTACAGGACTTTTCTAGAAAGTGACCTGACTTTAAGGCTTGAGCTTTTGGCAGAGTTGCTTCTGGGGCTGGAGGATGGGGAGGGTGGATCAGCAGGAAGGAGAAATCGGAACCGCTTTCTCAAGAAGCTCCAGTGCTCTGCCTGAGACGGGCCCAAAGGCTCCGAAAGACAAGACCTCGGCTCACGGGAGTCTGTTGTCTGGGACACGTCTCTACCCTTCCCACGTTCTCCTCTCTGTGCTGCTGACTTGGGATTCATACGAGAGTGTGTGAGCAGTGAGCCTACCGTGTCTTCTTAATGTTGACTTCCCATAAAGTAGTACATGTTTGGAGCACAAGGGTCTTGTCTGACTCCTTTCCTGGCCTTACCAGGCACACGTCACATAGAAGGCCCTCAGTCAATGCCTGTTGGTAAACGGTGTCCTCTTTTCACAGATTAGATGCAGGTGAGCAATGACTGGCAAGGGAGCCCAAGGTCACTGGCCCATCTCCAGGTTTCTGTTTCAGTCCCTGTTCCTCCGACCTTGCTGGGTCAGGGTCCCACGGGCTGACCTTTTGCCACACTTCCGACGGCACTGCTGGTTCTTTGAGGTCTCGTGGCCACAGGCAGGGACATCTTCATTGTTGTTTCCACTCTGGGCAGCATCCGCTGACATCTGTGTGGCTGCAGAGAGGGAGTAGAGTCTGCACAGAGTGGGGCCAGCTGCAAACCTCGTAGGCCTGCTGGGAGCAGCGAGGGGCAGGGGGTGCCTGCCTCTGAGCACGAGGGCTGCGGTGGACGGGTGGGCACCACGTCTCACGTGGAGACGTGACTTCTGACGCGTTGTGACCGTTGGTGGGCTCGGAGTGCTAGACTACAAGCAGCAGTGTAGCTAATGGGGAAATGAGAAAGTCTGATGCATCAGCCAGATCTTAACACTGGAAGAGATGGAAATGTGACGAGTGCTCTCCTGGCTGTGACACAAACGAGAGAAGAAACCTGGTCAGACAGCAGTGTTTCCTAAGCTTCCCAAGTTGACAGTGGCTTTCCGCATGTCGTGGCCACTCACAAGTGGGAGTGTAAAACATGGATCTCGAGAGATTGCTGGTCCTTGAGGAGATGGGAAGAAAGGCATTGAGTTACCCTTGAAGTTTCAGAGGCAAGGTTGGGATGAGTATCGTGCTCCAGTCATAATTTGTGCAGGGAGTACATGAGCTGTGGCTCTTGGGTTCATGAGCTGGGGGACCCCAAGTGTCATGTCATCAAGGACCAGCATGGCTTCCAGAAGGAATGAGGCTGTGAGCTCAGAAGCCAGGCTGCCGTGGCCTAGACTTCCTGTGGTGGTGAAGATGGCTGGCTCTCTGCTCTGAGCAGTAGGTGATGGCCACTTGCCACATGTGTCTTTTGAGCCTTTGAAACGTGACTAGTGCAACTGAGGCACTGAGTTTTAAATTTTGGTTAACTTTGGTTACTTTGCATTTGAATAGTCACACATGGCTAGTGGCTGCCGTTGGGCAGCTTGGCTCTAACCTAAGATCTGCCGTGAACAGGTAAGCTCACCAGCTTCGGGTCCTGCCCTTGGTCCACAATGCATTCCCGGCAGCTACTACCATCTCCCGAGGACAGGAACCTTTGTCTGGCTCAGTGCTGTGTCTCCAGTGCCTGGAACAGTGTCTAGTTGCCATGGGGACTCACTAAGGAGAGGATGGCTGGTGGGTCACAGTGGTCCATAGCCCTGTGTGGAGGGAGCCACACCTGGAACCATGCTGGCCTTGGTGGCCTCCTAGTGTCCCATTGGGGAGGAGCAGTCCACCCCAGTGGGAGACTCGCTGACTCTCAGTCAAGTAGGAGGAGGGCTGGGGCCTGACGGCCATTGTCCCACCCTCACTCTGCTCTTGACTTGCAGCTTCGTGGCCCTCACTGACATTCTTCTCTCCTGAGTTGATTTGAGTGGCAAATCACCTTTTCGCTTCTTGACTTTCAGAAGATGTGGTTGCAGGCACACACTTGTTCTCTGTGCCCTTTAAATGACAGTGGTGTTAGTGGGCACAGCATAGGTGTGAAGCATCTGCCCCTCAGTGGGTTTCCTTACAGTAGCGGTATCTATGCTAATCGTGTTATTTTACTGATTATGATAGATGAGCTTCCTGGGGAGCAAAGACCATTTCCTGGGAATTTTTATGCACTTCTCACACTTCCGGTTTTAAAATTTTTCAGGGGCAGAGGGTCCTTAGATTCTTTTTGTTGCTGAGTTCCCTGCACTTAGCAGCTGGAGCCTCAGGTCAGCCCTCTCAGAGCATGGTGGCTCCCTCTCGGGCAGCCTGTGGTAAAACCCGGCTCTTCTTCCTCAGGGAGAGACAGTCTGGAAACCTCAGGGTGTGTGGAGCGCATCCATGTGCAGCATGCAGAGAAGCCGCCAGGGGCCCCGGTGCCTGAGACACGACTCCGGGGCCCCTCAGTGGCCAGCGAGCCCAGGAGTCGGAGCAGCTCGCTCAACTCCACGGACAGCGGCTCCGGGCTGCTGCCACCCGGCCCTCTCGCCACCACCGAACCCAGGCAGGGCAACCAGCCCTCCTCACAGAGATTCAGCGTGATCAGCTCGGAAGATTTCGACCAAGAGCTTGTTGTGAAACCTATCAGAGTGAAAAAGAGGAAGAAGAGGAAGCCAGGTACCGTCTCTAGCAAAGCACACGTGTGCTCGGCTCTCTCTGCAGGCCTCCTCTCTGGGTGCTGTCTCCCTGGGCCTGAAACAGTGCTGCTCACTGACGGCCGGGCCCCTGCCTCAGAAATCTAAGGAGATTTTCCTTCAGTGTGGCAGTACAGCCTAGCTAGAGGCATTTAACAGGGACCGAGGAGTAAGGAGTAAAAAGTTGAACGGTCAGCATTAAACCCCATATTTGGAAATGTAGCCAGTAAAACACTAAAGGTAAAATAGTCCCATCTAGAGAGCACCTAATAAAAAAAATTGGCCTGTGACCAATTGTGCATATCACTTTGCCACTTTGATTTCTTTAGTTAACATTTCTCGTGTGTGGTCTTAGAGCCCGTCGGGGTGTGTGGTACCTGCTCACAGAACATTCCTGCATTAGCATCATTGCATCTCGAGGTTTTGTCTTCCCTAGGTGAACACGCTTCAAGTAGAGTTCACACTGTGTCAAGCGGCATTTTGTTTCCCTCAGTCTCCTACCGTCTGTGCAGCGTCAGGACTAACCTTAAACGTTCTTGTTTTAATCAGAAAGCGGGAGCAGGAGCACCTGCCACAGCTCCCTGGAGTCGACGCCCTGTTCTGAGCTGCCCGGCGGGAGTCCCCACTCCCTGACTGCGGACTTGCTGTCCATGACCTCCAGTGTCCTGGGCAGTAGCGTGGACCAGCTGAGTACAGAATCTGCTGACCTGGAGAGCAGCCTCTGTGGGGAGCTGAACGGCGGCCTGCCGGAGACCAACTCTGAGCCTTTCAGCATGCTGGAGGTCCCCGAGTCAGCCCCCAGTTTCCTGGGTGAAGAGAGTGATGACAGAGCTGAAACCCTACAGCGTGACCTTGCCAGTGACGTGGACCTGCTCCAGGGAAGGTGTGATGCGCCCTTGCTCTTGGGGGCTGATGTGGACACAGACCTTGGAGAGGAGCAGAGTCCTGCAGAGAACAGGCCCAGCCGTGAGCCGTCACCCTTCCAAGAACAAGACGGCTCCCCCGAGTCACCTGAGGCAGAGGAGGTGGAGCCCAGCAGCCCCCCCCACAAGTCTCCTGCGGTCCCCCGTCTGGACCCTCTCGCTGTGCCTTTCAGCGTTGCTGTGGCCTCAGGTGCAGAGCAGCCACCGCCTGGGCCCAGGACTGATGGAGGCTGCTCCTTGGAGCCCACGGAGGAGCCAGGCTTCCTGCTGGGCCTCGGGGGCCCCTCCTTCCTCAGCCCACATCCCAGGCATGATGGTCCTGGAGGTGACAGGAGTCCAGCAGAAGTGGCCGATCCAGAGTGTGACTCGGGGGCCACAGGGGGACAGTTGGACGCTCCAGCCTCTGTCTCGTCAGTCAGCACCCACAGGCCTCAGCTTGAGCAGCCGTCACGGGACCAGACATCCACATCCAGCGACGAGGAGGACATCTATGCCCACGGACTCCCCTCATCACCCTCAGAGGCCAGCGTGGCAGAGCTTGGAGGCAGCCGTTCACTCCCAGAGATGGGCCAGCCGGGTGCAGATGCCACCGGGCTGCTGAAGGCAGACCAGGTAAGTTGGCCCAGACGTGGAATGTGTGCTGTGGGCCTCCTGTGAGACTGGTTCTTCTTCTCTTGAGATCCTGTTCTCACTGCAAAGCCTGTGGGCAGATGGGTCTCCATCTGAGCTTAGGAGATGTACATAAGGCACCGCACGCTCCATGACCCCATGCCATGGGGCTCCACCAAGCATGTAGCATCTGTGTCCCACAGGACCAGGTCTCCCTGAGTGCTGAGGGCCTGGCCGGTGCTCAGTGTCCATCTTCACAGGGAGGGGACTCAGTGACCGTAGGACTGTCCACTCTGGCAGTGGAGAAAGTGCAGGGCAGCTGAGAGGCAGGGCTCCCCCCCCCCCCGGACTCTTCCTCAGTCAGGAGTCTGGGCGGAACCTCAGCAAGACGTGGTGCTGCGTCCTGACTGCTGGTCTCCTCGCCCTCCAAGAGCAGCACCCAGCCCCCGCCCACAGCCAGGCTGGATGATGCCGCCTCCCGCATCCACTCAGCCCTGCAGTGAGAGACGGAGAATCACTGTTCCAGGATTTCATAGAAAATAAGGAGGGTGAGACGTGCTAGCTTTCCTTAACTCATAATTATTACTATTCAGTGGGTTTGGTTTTGGAACTGACCGCATCATAGGGCTTCTCCTTTTAAGTGTGGAGGTAATACTTGGGTGACAGCCACATGGGCTCTTGGTCCCAGTGACAGTGATCTGTGACGCTGGCTGAGCTGTCACTCTGCAGACACCACACTAAACGTGCCACATGTTAACTTGCTAACCTCTCTGAAAACAAAAGAAACTATCAGGTCACGTTGTTGTTGTTGTTATGTGCCGTGGAGTCAGACCCAACTCATAGCGACCCCTCCTTGGGTTTCCGAGGCAGTATCACTACGGAAATAGATTGCCCCATCTTCCTTCCGAGGAGTGGCTGGTGGGTTTGAACCGCCAGCCTTCTTGTTAGCAGTCAAGTGTTTTAGGCACTATGCTACCAGAGCTCCTTTAGGTCATGTTAATGCCACGTTTACAGAGGAGAAAATGGAGGCTTGGAATGTCAGTGGTTGCACGAGGACACACAGCTGGCAGTGAGTGGGAGGGCTGCCCCAGGACCTTCCCCTCAAAGGGAAAGCAGGCTGCTCACTTGTTTTGAGATAAAAAGAAGCTGGAATGGTGGCCCTTCCAGTGGGTCATCCTGGGGTCATCTGGCCAGCGGACAGTGCTTCCCATGTGTCAGGCTCTGTTGGTGTGGGCATACCACAGTGGCGACGTAACTGTGTGCTCCCTGCCTTGGGGAGGACATGGACACATGCTGAGACTGAGTGGGACTCAGTCAATGGTGATGAGTGGGCACGGGCCTGGGGGTACGGAGGGCACTGGGTGCTGCTCTTGGAGGGCGAGGAGACAGCCTGGGGGCTGGAGCTGAGGTTCTAGGTCAGAAATTTAGGTGGGAGGATGCTGGGCCTTTGAAAGGCCGGCATCAGATCCTCCTCCCTCCACCCCTCGGGTAGCAACACCAAGAGTCGATGAGAGCTTTGTCAGCGGTAGATAAGGCTCCATGGAGAGCAGGGCCAGGTAGAGCAGGGCTGGGCACTGTTCTCTTTGCAGAGGCAGCCTCTGTAGCGGGTGTTTGTACGGATACACTGATTTCCTCTGCACTTTCAGAACGTGATTTAAGGGTAAGACTTTATTTAGCTTCAAGTGTTACAGAGTCCCAGCTGCACAATTCCAGCAGGCAGGGTGTCCCGGCCCAGCCTCCGCACGACGCACCATGTGTCCCATGATGTGAACGGTGCTGGAAGAAAGAGCAGTGCCACTGCTAACGCAGCTGCGCGTGTTAAACTCACAGGCCATCGGGGTGCTTGCAGACGGTTAAGAACACACTTCCTGGTGTAAGTGGGGGAGTAGCCCTGGACTAGAACCAGGGCCCCCTCAGTGGATTTTGATGACCTGGTGCAGACGTTAGGAAGTTATCTGTAACACAAGAAAGTGTTCGTTACCCAGGGACATTACGGGGGTCCTCAGTGGGATGATAGCTCCTATGTCCGGATGTCTGCAGTAGACTCAACCCGAGAGGCGGCAGGGTGCTCTGCCTGCTGATCGAGGGCAGCCCAGCCTCTGCCACAGCCCTCACTGGCTCTGTCCTTCAGTTTGCAGAGAGCTGGATGGGCTACTCTGGCCCCGGCTATGGCATCCTCAGCCTGGCGGTCTCCGAGAAGTACCTCTGGTGCCTGGACTACAAAGGTGGCCTGTTCTGTAGCGCGCTGCCTGGCGCCGGGCTGCGGTGGCAGAAGTTCGAAGACGCCGTCCAGCAGGTGGCAGTCTCGCCTTCAGGTTCGTGTCCTGACGCCCAGCCCAGGCTTCTCTGGCCCCCAGCTCCAGAACAGCTTGCGCAGGGCTCCCCCACCCGTAACCGCCCTCATCACCCTCCACGGACCAGGGAACCATGCATCTCACCTCACTTGACATCAGTTCACAAGTAGTGTAAACCAATGTCCAGTGGGAGGATTTTATGAATTGCCATGGTAACACATGAAAACGTTTTTGTAAAACTCCAGATAGTTCCAATTGTATTTTTGTTTTGAGGGGTATTAGTACACCAACCCCTTGTAAATAAAATGTGTTTCAGTTTCTCAGTGTGGCCTTAAAGCAGCTCCAGTCAGGAAGACTGGCCTGTACTGTCAGGCATGTCCGTGTGGCTGGGCCTCTCCGTCAGAGAATCTTTTTTAACAAGCTCTGTGCTTTGGGTGCACAGTCCGCTCTTGCCTGCCATCAGCAGGCCCAGTCTGGTGAGTTGGAGCAGAAGTTTCTTGAAGCACGCCCTACAAGGCTGACGCCTTTCTCCTTCCTCTTAATGCTGGCTGCTTCTCCTGTTCTAAAAGGGGGAACAGTGGGGGGGTGGTGTTATGCCTCTGCAGTGGCCCACTCCATTGGTTAGGATGTGGGAAGGACGGCGGACTTGAAGATCCGCAGTGCTTTGTGGTGGGCGTGACGTTGACTAGTCCTCTGGACTTGTCTGTGCCTCAGGATGTCTCCTTCCCCTGCTCTTGGACTGTTGAAAGTTCCCCTTGTTCAGGGTGGCTTTGCTTGCTTTCTCACCCTGCTTGTTCGTGAAGTTGCTCTCAGCAGAGACTGCCTGAGATGAGGGCCTCACTGTGAGCTGGGGTGACAGCTGCCTGATGCTCTCTCCCTGGCTTTTTAGAAACTTGGCCTCTTTCCAGATTCTGTCGATGACTTTGTTTCCTAATCACCAAGTCCCTCCTTGCTCCCGGAGCAGCTCCATCTCTAGCTGGTGGGGTTACTCAGCTGAGCCCCTCTCAGAGCCCCCAGCCCTCATGTGCTGGCTCAGGGCAGCTGTAGGCTCTGGCACTGGGCCTCTGGGCTCCTCAGCTGCTCAGAGCAGACCTTCCAGCTGACGGAGCTGCCCTCATGGTGACCTCTGACGGCACCCTGCTCTGTCCTGCCTTGACTTGTGCCAGCCTCCGTCAGCAGCATCGTTCCTGCCTCCACATCGGTTTATCAAAGTCTCTTTCCAAGTGGGAGTGGGGAGGCCCTGTGGCTCACGCAAGCTGCTTCAGGGGCACCCTCTTCCTTTGCAGCTCTGTCGGCATCTTCTGGCCTCTCTCAGGCGCTGGTCCTCCTGCCTAGGATGCATCTCTGGGGGCTCATCTCCCAGACCCGGTGCTGTTGTCAGCAGTGCTACACTTCTGGGTAGCAACGGCTGGTGCACCCGGCCCTGTGGACTGTGGTCCAGTCTCACCGCCCACCTTCACATTAACCCTGCAAGGGAGAGATTATCCCCTTTTGACAGACTAGGAAATGAGCCTTGGAGACATTAGATAGGATGCTGTCCAAGGCCTCACAGGTCATGGGCAGCAGCCAGTGGGGCGGCTTTTCCCCTGTGACCGTGAGTCTGCTGTGTAGAGTTGGTGCCGTGGGCTGTGTTCAGGAGTGTCTCTCCCCACAGAGCCCAGAGTGATAATGCTCAGTGCTGACTGGGTGACAAACAGAAGTGTCTGCTTTGCTGCAGGGGCTCTTCTCTGGAAGATTGAACAAAAGTCCAACCGCGCATTTGCTTGTGGAAAAGTGACCATCAAGGGAAGGCGGCACTGGTATGAAGCTCTGCCCCAGACGGTGTTTGTAGCATTGAGCGATGACACGGCCTGGATCGTCAGGACAAATGGAGATCTGTACCTGCAGACAGGTGAGTGTGGGAGTGGCTTCCCTGCAGACAGGTACGTGAAAGTGGGCCCGTCAGTTCTGGTCTCATTGCTTCTTAACTGCCCACTGCTTTGGTGTGAATTGCGTGGTACAGTCTCAGTGATGAGAGAGAGACTAAAAATGAGTTTTTATTAAAACACTCTGGAAAAAGAGTATATACCACTTGGAATTTACTAACAGTTTCCTGCCACTGCCACAAATTCAACCCAGGACAAATTTGGGGTGAGAATGAATAGAACGGCTTGGTGAGTACAGGAACAGGGTCCTGTCCCCTGGCTAACCAGCCGCAGCGTGCTCTCCTGCAGCGCGAGATCTTGAAGAGAGAATACGGAGCAATAAGGAAATGAGGCTTGGAGACACTGAGTAGTCAGTCTCCCCCTGAAAGCTCAAGTGATGGGAGTTTGCATCCGACTCAGAGCCCAGCTTCTGTGACTTACATGTGGGTCAGAAAACAAGGAAAAATTATTTACTCTAAATAGCAGTTCACCTTATCCTAGGAAACTGCCCTGGGGGAGACTGTTAGCTGCCAGGAGAGGCACAGCGGGACTTGTTTATTAAAATAAACTGTCATGAGAATCCGTGTGTATGCGCTGTCAGGAAAGTGGGAAGCGATCTTCCAAAGCAGCGTGACTTGTCAGTCAGGGAGGAGCAGGGCAGACGCTCCTGTTTGCTTGTCAAGAGGCCAGGTCGGATTTGGGTAAGGCTCGATCACGTAACCATTCAGTAGTGCTCATTCCAGGGCATGTTCTGACCTCTGTTATGTTTGGGCGGTGTGGGTGACTCCCTGAGAATGAGGGACTTGTGTATCACGTCTGCCCCAGGCAGGGATGCTGCCCTCGGGCCCTGCTGGACGGCCTCATCAGGTGTGGGGTCCCAGGTCTGCCCTGGTCTCTGCAGCAAGTTCTGCATCTCCCATTGGGTCGCTCTGTGAAGGCACACACACAGGTCTTCCGCTCTCCTTCCGCTGCCGGGAGCATTGGAGTTTTGCTCATGGGAAGATGGGATGCTCCTGGCCTGGGGGTGAGGAGTGGCCAACCTCCTAGCTACCAGTTGTTGTTGTTTGTTGTCGAGTCCGGCCCTGACTCATAGCGACCCCTCCTTGGGTTTCCGAGGCAGTATCACTACGGAAGTAGGATTGCCCAACCTTCCTTCCGAGGAGTGGCTGGTGGGTTTGAACCGCCAGCCTTCTGGTTAGCAGTCAAGTGCTTTAGCCACTATGCTACCGGAGCTCCTTCCTAACCAGTAGTGCTGTCAAAGTCGCTGGGCCACATGGTCTCGGGGAAGTCCAGCCCCACCAGACCTCCTAGATTACAGTCTCTGGGGATTGACCTAGAACATGGATTTCTAACAAGTCCCACAAGGATTCCACCTGGTTGGGGTGGGGACTGTGAGTCCATAGGGTGCTGTTAGGATTCACTAGGGATGGATGTGAGTGAGAAGACCTAAGTGCAGGCGGAGGCAGGGGGACTAGGGTTTTGGTTCTGGGTGTTGGCCAGCTCCCCTGAGCATGGCCTGGGGTGCAGGTAGCAGCACCTGACGGAGAGGCCGGAGGCGGAGGAGGAGGGGAAGCCCTGGCCAGCAGCTCTCGTTTTTCAGGCATTCATTTTAGTGGTGGTGTTTTCCCTGTCTACACACACCAGGTCAAAGCTGAGGGACAGGAAGCTGCTCTGCAGAGAGTGGACGGAGGCCCCGAAGGCCACAGTCAACCAGGGCAGGAGGCAGCTGTATGGCGGCCCGCGCTAAAGGCTGCCCCCGCCCTGCCCTCTGGCTCCGAGAGGGCCTCTCTCCCACTCTGCGCTCAGCTGCCTCTCAGGACTTCCTCAGCTGCTTCTCGATAGCAGAGAATTCCAAATCGTCACTCTCTTAGTTTTCAAACAGCACCGGAAAGCGTGTCAGGGAGATGTTAGGGCTTAGATGATGTAACTGCTTTACGTTGACCAGACTTTCAGAAGTACTTACTGTGAAAGAAAACAGCAAGATACCGAGAGAGAGAAGTAATTGCACTTGACTGCTAACCAGAAGGCTGGTGGTTCAATCCCACCAGCCACTCCTTGGAAGGAAGGTTGGGCAATCCTACTTCCGTAGTGATACTGCCTCGGAAACCCAAGGAGGCGTCGCTATGAGTCGGGGCCGACTCGACGGCAAATAACAACAACAACAAGAATGAGGTATGCAGTCCTGACTCTGTCCTCATTGTCTTTGGGGTCTCCTTGTCCATCTCTCTCCCTGGCAGGCCTCAGTGTGGACCGCCCATGTGCCAGGGCCGTGAAGGTCGACTGCCCATACCCACTGTCCCAGATCGCAGCCCGCAACAACGTGGTGTGGGCGCTGACGGAGCAGCGGGCCCTGCTGTACCGAGAAGGCGTGAGCAGCTTCTGCCCCGAAGGCGAGCAGTGGAAGTGCGACATCATCAGGTATATCGTCCAACAGGCCAAGCCACCTTTCAGCTGTTTGTCGGCCTGACTCTCAGCTGTTTGTCGGCCTGACTCGCAGAGAGCCTTTCCAGGAAAGCTGGTCCCTGGAGGTTTCCGTGGGAGTTGTTAAGCATCTGGGACGAGGCACTCCCGTGCCCTTCTTGGCCCAGGCAGCCTGGACAGGGGCTCAGTTAGAAGCCGTGCCACGCAGGCAGGCCTCTGGCGGCCCTGTGTCTCCTAACCACCGCTCTATCCAGAGCTGGCCCGTCAGCGTTTTCTGCTCAGAATCCAGGATGGTTCGAGACCAGATATTTTTCTTTATTTTCATCTAATCAATTGAAATTGAGTGTATTTATCTGGTTACTAGTGCCTAAGGCATTTGACTGCTGACCACAGGGCTGGCAGTTCAAACCCACCAGCCATTCCTCAGGAGGAAGACTGGGCGATCTATTTCCATAGTAATACCACCTCGGCAATCCAAGGAGGGATCACTATGAGTCGGATCCGACTCAAAGACAGTGAATTTTTTGGTTTTAACATTCAAGGTTTTAGTTACAGAATTGTCAAATGCATTTATTAATGTGCAAGTATTAATTGTCCTTAGAATAATTAGACGAAGACATTCTTGGTTTGAACATAGCAGCCCAGGAAGCCATAGGTGTGTACCAGGAGCCCCTGGGTAGTGCAGATGGTGGACACATGTGGCTCCCGATTGAAAGGTGGAGGTGCAAGTCCTCCCAGGGGCAACTGGGAAGAAAGGCCTGGCAATCTGCTCTTGAAAACCCAGCCACTGGGGAGCCCCGTCCCCCACGAGGCACACGGCGTGGCCAAGTCGGAGTGGGCTGGATGGCATCCGGCATTTGGGTTTGATTGTGTGGCAGGACTCTGCTGCGGGCACAGAGATGGCTAAGATATGGCCGCACCCTCAAGGCACTCCTAGGCCAGCGGGGGGACATCCATGTAGCTGGTATAGATGGTCCTGAGTGTGAGGGGACACGTGACACCAAGGGCTGCCAGCTACCTACAGGGGGTGGGAAGACAGCACACAGCATGGCTTGTAGCTGAGGCTGGAGGTTCGAGGATGTCCCCAGATGGACAGGGTGGGACAGGGCCTTCCCAGCTGAGAGAGCAGCATCTTTCAAGGTCAGCTGCAGAAGGCTGGCACGATGAGGCGTCCCAGGGTATCCACGTGGTGAGGGAACAGAGAGAGCTCAGGCCTCAGCTACTTACCGCGCCCACACGCCCCTTCTTAGGTCATTTTCTCCAGCAGCATTCCCTACCACTCTGCAAGTCTTTCAGAAGCTACTGCACACTCAGTGGGCTGCTGACTCACGAGCTCTCCTTCTCCCTCGCAGCGAGAGGCAGGCGCTCGAGCCTGTCTGCATCACCCTCGGGGACCAGCAGACGCTCTGGGCCCTGGATACCCGAGGAAACCTGTGGTTCAGAACAGGCGTGCTTTCCAAGAAGCCGCAAGGAGATGACAACCATTGGTGGCAAGTAGGCATTCTGCTCGGCATGTCCGGGGGTCTCGCTGCGTCGGGCGTGCGACCCCCAGCCCCTCTCTGAGGAGATCAGAGAGGTCAGGTTAAAGGATGCTATTCTATCTTGCTGACTGGTGGGTTTGACGTGGCTGTCCGTGAGAAACACCAGGGCTTTTCATCACAGCCCCTCTGTACTTAAAGAAAGCAGGCCTTGTTTTGGGTGACGTGTAGAAGTTTATCATTAGATGCTAAATAAACCCAGTGACATCCATCTGAAGACCTGGGTAATTACGAAGGTTAATTCTGAACAAATGGGCTGAGCAAACAGACTAGACAATAGGTTTGAAAATCCCAACCCACAATTAAAATTCACACTTGTTCAAAAGCCCTCAAGTAAATGGTTTCCACAGAGAAAGATGTTTTCCCAGGTGCTCCCAGAATGGGGAACAGTTTGAGAGAAAGGAGGGTGTGGTCAACTAACCTCGTGTGGCTGGGCCCCATGGAGCAACTGGCCTGCATCTCTGGAGGAGCGTGTGTTCACACCTCTTTGCTCCCCTGTCCCCACAGTGGTGGGCATGGGCTGCGGCAGCCCTGAAATACACAGTGGGCCGAGAGCGCTCACCATCGCTGGCTGAGGCTGTGTCATCCCTCAGACGTGCCGTGAGGAGGCAGGTCTTCCACAGAGACAAGAACTCGGGAAACAACGGGTGTCTGCTCCGTAATGAATATGTATGCTCTACCTGTGTCACTAACTTGTCATGCTAGATGATCCTGGAAGAGCTCATGTAAATGACTGTTTTTAGAACCGTTTGTATGTGTGCGTGTATGTGTGTATACGCACGTGTATATGCAATCTACTAACCTGTTTTTAAGTAGGTTAAAGCAAGTCGGATGTCATGTTATCATAATATTCAGGACGTTACTTCAGAGAAATCGAATTGAAAAGAGTCTTTAGGAGCAGATGACCCTCATTACTGGACTTGAGTTCTCTGTCAGGCTGTGTGGCCAGTTTGATCTTTCTGTAAATTTGTGTCCTGCTTATCTGCAAACCTTAGATGCTGGGACCTGATCTGTTACAGGTTTTCGGGGTGGCCTTGGCAGGGTCCCTCCCTTCTGGGCTGAACAGGAGGGACAAGCTAGTCACCGGTCAGACGCTCGGCTCCGTGCTGAGGATGTGGGCACACGCTCTCGGGCAGCCCAGGAAGCACGGAGCCCCCTGAGCTACCACACAGAGCAGAGCCAGCACATGCTGAGGCCCCAGACCCCGCTAGTCTCCAGGGACAGCAGCAGTCTGGCACTCCGTGGGTGGTCTGTGGGGACCGGCCAGCCAGGTGTGCTGTGAGCTCTTGGGGGGCATGAGCCGGGCCACAGGCTCCATGGCGGAGCCCGGCCTGCACCTTCATGAGGGTTGTGTCCACAGTTGGGAAGGAGTTGTACATCACTTGTACGCGATTTGTGCAGGTAATAAAGCACTTGTTTTTATCATAAATTAAATTCCCTACGATAAATGGTGTCACTCCTGCTCCACGTTTTCTCATGTACACCCCAAGAGTGTGGCCTGCATGAGGCAGTTGTGGGGACCAGGGTCTGTGCTCTGTGATCAGCCTCTAGGGGGCCACGTGAGGCAAAGGAGGGAAAGCCACACGGAGTTAGAACTTCCTGGTGGCAGTGCTGCCCGGCCGGGAGAGGCCCTCAGAGGCCCCGGACGAGGCTGGTGGGCTCTGTTGGCGTCATTAGTGGTCAGCCTGGCTTGGGTCCCAGATCATTTGCCCACCTTGCGTACAGTGCCCCGCACTACTGTCCCGTAGACACACCTCAGTGTCAAAGCAGAGCTTTCCTTTCTCACTCTTAGAATGAAGGTGCCGTGGGAGGCACTGGTATGTCCTCACAGCCTAGTGCACATGTTCTGTGTAACAGAACAGTGGACAAGTGGAAAGGGAACGTGTCCTCCCATGCCTTTAAACTGGACTCTTAGCAGTAATGACAGTTGGCAGCACAAGGGGGTCCTGGTGAACTTGACCTTACACACGTGTGTACAAATGCATGTGTTTGTGTGTACAAATGCTCACGCAAGTGTTGGGGCATCTGGTCGTCCGTGACTGGACATTCAGGAGTGTGCGTGTGACCGGAACCTGCCCCGAGGTGGTCGGCTCCCAGGAGTTGCGTGTGCTGGCACTTAGAGCTGCTCTCTGTTCCTCCCCATCCAGGTGAGCATCACAGACTACGTGGTGTTTGACCAGGGCAGCCTGTTCCAGACAATAATCCACGCCACGCACTCGGTGGCCACAGCGGCTCAGGTGCCAGTCGAGAAGGTGGCAGACAAGCTGCGCATGGCATTCTGGTCTCAGCAGCTCCAGTGCCAGCCCAGCCTCCTGGGCGTCAACACCTGCGGTGTCTGGCTCTCCTCGGGCAGGAACGAGCTCCACGTCGCCAAGGGCAGCCTCATAGGTGGGTGGGCCGTACTCCTACGCATGCTGCAGCTGGGGGCTGGGGGCTATGGCTGCGTTTCACATGGGGCTCTACAAGCCCACCCATAAGATGGTCTTGCCCCTGGGCTGGCCCCGTACCAGCAGGGTGCAGGTGGGAAGTAGTGGTAGCTACTATGCAGTTTAGGGGGGTTATTTCACTACTTTCTTCTTTTAGAGGAGACATTTCAGCTTCTATTTTAATTATTGTGATAAATAAAACCAAATCAAACTCACTGCCATCAAGTCAATTCCAACTCATAGCAACCCCCACTGGGTTTCCAAGGTGGTAAATCTTTACAGAAGTAGACTGCCCCATCTTCCTTCCATGGAGTGGCTGGTGGGTTTGAACTGCCAACCTTCTGGTAAACAGTCAAATACCTCAGGCACTATGCCACCAGAGCTCCTTTGTGATAACCATATAGGTAATCAGGTCCTTGTCGTTTAATCATTTCTGTTTTCTTTCTTCACTTCTAAGACTTGGGGGCCCAGAGTCTGGCGGGCTTGTGACCTGTTACCACTGGGAGCCCACTGTGGTATGGAAAGAGCAAATAAGCTCATTGTTAGGTTAATAGTCACACGATTAAATGAGAAGTGTCTTGTAAACCTACAGCTTTTACACCACCAGCCACTGGTGGCCACTCCCCGGAAGGAAGGAAGGTTGGGCAGTCTACTTCCTTAGTGATACCACCTTGGAAACCCAAGCAGGGGTCACTATGAGTCGAATCCCACTCGATGGCAGTGAGTTTGGTATTTTTTTCTTTAGTGAGGGAAGACTCCATTTCCTAAAGGAAAATTATTGCCACTGTTGCAAATGGAACTGAGCCCTGGGGGCACAGTGGTTAAAGCACTTGGCTGCAAACCTACAGATCCGTGGTTGGAACCCACCAGCCGCTCCATGGGAGAAAGATGTGGCAGTCTGCTTCCGTAAAGATTATAGCCTTGGAAACCCTCTGGGGCAGTTCTCCTCTGTCATAAAGGGTCACCATGAGTCAGAATCGAGTTGCCAGCAACAGGTTTTTTGGATTTCGTTGAACACTCAGAGGTTCCACACAGATCTGCGGCAAGGTGCAGACTCACAAGGGTGGGGCTCCGTTTCTGTGACTGAATCCTCAGCTCTTTCCTCCCTTGTGAGCCTCCCCTAACCCTGGAAAGACTAGCTCTGCAAGCTGGCACCGGGGAGAAAAGGAAGGTGGGCTGTCACTCCCCTGCTCCTGTCTCTTAGTTTAAGGACACTCTGGAATTCACTAGAAACCTGTGCAAGACTTTTAGCTGATTTTTAGGTTCTTATCAGCAGGAGAAAGAGAAGGCAGAAATCTGTGCATGCAAGTAAAATCTTATGGAAGATAATTCAAAAACGGTTGCAGCAGTATATTGACAGAGAACTTCCAGAGGTGCAAGCTGGATTCAGAAGAAGACATGGAACGAGGGATATCATTGCTGCTGTCAGATGTATCGTGGCTCAAAGCAAAGAATACCAGAAGAATGTTTACTTGTGTTTTATTGACTATGCAAAAGCATTTGGTTGTACGGATCATAACAAATTGTGGATAACATTGAGAAGAATGGGAATTCCAGAACACTTAATTGTACTCATGAGGAACCTGTACATAGACGAGGAGGCTGTCATTCTAACAGAACAAGGGGACACTGCATGGTTTAAAATCAAGAAGGGAGTGAGTCAGGGTTGTATCCTTTCACCGTACTTATTCAGTCTATATGCTGAGCAAATACTCTAAGAAGCTGGACTATATGAAGAAGAACGTGGCATCAGGATTGGAGGAAGAATCATTAACAACCTGTGATAATGCAATTTTGCTTGCTGAAAGTGAGGATGACTTGAAGCACTTACTGATGAAGATTGAATAATATATTTTGCAGTATGGATTACATCTCAATATAAAGAAAACAAAAACTCCTCACAATGGACCTATAAGCAGCATCATGATAAATGGAGAAAAGATTGAAGTTGTCAAAGACTTCACATTGCTTGACTCTACAATCAACACCAATGGAAGCAGCAGTCAGGACATCAGATGATGTATAGCACTGGGCAAGTCTGCTGCAAAGGACCTCTTTCAAGTGCTGAGGAGCAAAGATGTCTCCTTGAGGACTAAGGTGTGCCTGACACAAGCCATGATGTTTTCAATCACCTCATATGCATGTGAGAGCTTGACAGTGAATAAGGAAGACTGAAGAAGAGTTGATGCTTTTAAGTTGTAGTGTTAGTGAAGAATGCTGAAAGTACCATGGACTGCTAAAAGAACTAACAGATCTGTCCTGGAAGAATAGTAGCTGGAATGGTCCTTGGAAGTGAGAATGGCCAGACTTCATCTCTACTTTAGTCATGTTGTCAGAAGGGACCATTCCCTGGAGAAGGATGTCATGCTTGGTAAGGTGGAGGGGCTATGAAAGAGAAGCCCTCAACGAGATGGATTGGCACAGTGGCTGCAGCGATGGGCTCAGGTATAGCAGGGCTCATGGAGCTGGTGTGGGACTGAGTGGTGTTTCATTCTGCTGTGCACAGGGTTGCTGTGAGTCAGAGACAACTCGATGGCACCTAACAACAATAATAAAGAATTTACTGCACCCACTGCCATCGAGTCGATTCTGACTCACAGCAACCCTGTTACAGGATGGAAGGAACTCTGGTGGCATAGTGCTTAAGGCATCTGACTGCTAACCAGAAGGTTGGTGGTTCAAACCCACCAGCCGCTCCATGGAAGGAAGGCTGGGCAGTCTACTTCTATAAAGATTTAACCACCTGGAAACCCAAACAGGGTTACGGTGAGTCAGGATCAACTCAACAGCAGTGAGTTTTTGGTTTTTTTTTTTGGATGGAGCAGAACTGTGCTGTGGGTTCTGAGAGCCATCGGTCTTTACAGAAGCAGACTGCCTCATCTTTCTCCCACTGACTCTCTTACAGTTTCAAACTACTGGTCTTTTGGTTAGCATCCAAGTGCCTTAGCCACCACACCATCAGAGGTCCTTAGAATTTGCTGTAAGGTGTATAAATAGTTTACACTTTGCTATTAACCAAAAGATTGGTGGTTTGAATCCATTTAAGACAAAATGAAGAAGAAAGACCTGGCAGTCTGCTTCTATGAAGATTACAGTCAAGAAAACCCTGAGGAGCCGTTCTGTTCTGTAACTTGGAGTTGCTCTGAGTTGGAGTCCAGCTAAAGGCAATACTTGGGATTTTTACAAAACTTGCTATAAGAGGTTCTGAGGGCCGCTATTATCTAGAACTAAAGCTCTGAAGTTTTGTTATGTTTTGTTTTTTTCCTTTCTTTGACACATTCTCCCTATTTCTTCTTTCCAGGCACTTACTGGAATAATGTTGTTCCCCGTGGGACAGCTTCCGCAACAAAATGGGCCTTTGTGCTGGCCTCTGCAGCACCTTCAAAGGAAGGTTGGTCCATTTTAGCTTGGTGGGACATAAGGGGTGTGGGCCAGCAGCAGCGGTCGGGCATGCTGGTGATGGCATGGGCAGCTGCACAGGCCTCTGGGACAGAAGATGTGTTGTCGTGGGCAACCAGCCCTTGCTAGTTCAGCGTCGGCCTGACCCGTGGGCCCCAGCAGCTGCACCAAGAAGGGGTCAAGTGCCACAGGGCTGCCGGAGTCTCCGAGGGGCACCGTGTGGCTGACGGAGCCGTGGCAGTGGCTGCCAGCAGCACAGGCAGGACCAGGGCACGGCTGCCGGTGGGAACGTGGTTCCTCAGCACCTTCCCATCACTGCTCTGGATTCCGCTGTCACCTCCTAGCACCCCTTCTGGTTCACAGCCTTTGAGCAGCCAGAGTCCCAGTCCTGCCCCATCCATGCCCCATAAAGACACACCTTCTCCTGCAAGGAGTACCACTTCCTGACCCGCTGTTCGGTTAGAGGGCACAGCCCCTCACAGAGCTGCAGGCTCCCCCGTTAGCTGGGCCCTGTGTTCTCCTCCCAGGGCTGCACAGGGTTGGGGTGGGTCAGCTCAGGCCATTTTTCCACTTGGCCGTGGGAGCAAGCTATAGGACGTGCTCACCCCAGCTCACTCTGGTCGAGGTTCTGAAATCCAGAATGCTCTGAAAACCAGAAGTTCTTTCCTGGGTTTGGCACGGATTCATTTCGCAGCAACCCCTGACCTGGAGTGACTTGAGGCTTCTTCCAGTCTCTGTCGTTCATCGTGACTTCCCCACTGCACTGCTGGGAGACAAGTGTGATGTCCTCCAGTGGCCACGGCAGTGTACAGCACACCCAGTCAGGTCACAAGTTGTAGATCAGAGACTGTGGACGTATGTATTGTTTTATAACACAGGGTGGAACCTCCCCAAGGATTATGTGCATTTTAAACAATTGATTATACCCAAACCCAAACCAAACCCATTGCCATGGAGTTGATTCCAACGTTAGCAACCCTGCAGGACAGAGTAGAGCTGCCCTGTAGGGTTTCCAAGGTTGTAATCTTTGTGGAAGCAGGCTGCCACATCTTTGTGCCATGAGGCAGCTGGTGGATTTAAACCACTGACCTTTTTGTTAGCAGCCGAATGCTTTAACCACTGTGCCACCAGAGGTCCTTACATGACAGTGGAACAGACTCTTAGCAGCCCTATAGGACAGAGTAGAACTGCCCCATAGGGTTTCCAAGGCTGTAAATCTTGACGAAAGCAGACTGCCTCACTTTCTCCCGCGCAGTGGCTGATGGGTTCAAACCGCTGACCTTTGATAAGCAGCCCAGTGCCTTAACCACTGTGCCTCCAGAGCTCCTAAGCCAACACTTGTTTCTCGTTAGCTGGTGGGTCACCAGAGGTGCTCCCTCTGACTCCTCACTTCAAGCCCATGAACACTCGTCCTGTGGATGGAGGGAGGTGGGAGCAGGGCTGTGTTTGGGGCAAGGCCGGGGGTCCACCTGCTGGCCGAGGGGCCCTGTGTGCCGTGGGCATTGCGCTGACAGCCAGGCCTTTCCGCAGGAAGCTCCCTGTGGCTGTGCCAGAGCACCAAGGACCTGTGCCGCCTCAGCGCCCAGAGTGCCCAGTCCCGCCCCTCCACCGTGCAGCTGCCCCCCGACACTGAGATGAGGGCCTACGCTGCCTGCCAGGACGCACTGTGGGCGCTGGACAGCCTCGGCCGGGTGTTCATCAGGACGCTGTCCCGCAGCTGCCCCACAGGGATGCACTGGACTCGGCTGGACCTTTCCCAGCTAGGTATGGCTTCCCTGGGAGATGCTGGCGCCCACGTCTGCCTCTGCTGCTCCTCTGGGAGTTCTCACGTGGACCTCATGGAAGCTGCTGGGCTTTAAAAGAGGGGCTGTCTTCTGAGGAGTGGCTGTGCCTTGTCCTTGTGTTAGGCACTTTACTGTCCCATCCTGTTTGCCTGGAGTCAGCCTCCTACCTCATGACGCTTCTCTGCTGTGTCCCCGGTGCTGTGGTCTGACCACGTTGTTTCTGTGAAGTATCTGCACGTGTGGGTGCAGGGCTATGCAGGCAGACCGTGTGCTGGGCCCCATGCCCGGTGGGAAACAAACTGTCAGGGGAGGTTGGTGTGACGTGTGACTCCATTTATAGGCACTTGTGGGGTGTGCGTTCTGGTCCTATATTTGGCCTGTTACTGATAATCAGAACTGCCTAACACACGTGTACATGGCCCATGCTGTGACTCACCTCGTGGGAGGGCTCTCTGCTCAGCCCCTGGAGCAAGGCAGGGAGGGATGTGGGTTCTGGAAGCAGTTCAGAGGGCTAGTGTGGGGGCCTCTCTCCTGGTCAGCCCCATCTTGCTGTTACATCTGTTCTGACATTGGAAGCCCATCTTCCTGGTGAAGTAGGTGGCAGCAAGCAGGCCTTGGCCATGCATATGACCTGTGCAGCCTCGCAGGTGACCTTGACTTTGGATGGTGCCAGCCATCGTAAGGTCTGGAATGTTGCCAGTCTTCTCTGAACCACTGGCAGAACTTCCATGTCGAGGATTGCAGCTAAGTGTCAAGTCAGGAGCACAGTGTTGCTGTTGTTGTTGTTATGTGCCATCGAGTTGGGCCTGACTCATAGCGATCCCTCCTTGGGTTTCTGAGGCAGTATCACTATGGAAGTAGATTGCCCAACCTTCCTTCCCAGGAGTGGCTGGGGGTTTGAACCCCCAGCCTTCTGGTTAGTAGTCAAATGCCTTAGGCACTACGCCACCAGAGCTCCTAGGAGCATGGTTAGACCTTTAATTTCTTTTTATTGTACGTTTCTTTTGACAACAGAAACCTCTGACATTCTCAACTTCACTTTGGTGTACTTATTTTAAACAGATACTTAAGTCCTGCTGGTCCACAGCTCCATTTCCATCAGTCTTTTTTCAAATTTATTTCTCTTTTATTATTATTTTTTATTTTTTGCAGTGTTCCCTCCTCTCCCCTCCCACCCCTGGTAACCAACAAAGAAAGTTTCCTTCCATATATAAACCTTTCCTTGATTTTTTACAATAATGAACTAATGTATGTGTCCTGTGGTTGACTTACTTCACTCAGCATAGTGTCCTCCAAGTTCATCCACGTTATGCAGTATTTCGCAGATTCTGTATTATTCTTTAGGGTTGCATGGTATTCCATTGTGTGTATGAACCATAGTTTGATTATCCATTCTTCTGTTGATGGGCACCTAAGTGGTTTCCATCATGTAAATAGTGCTGTGAGGAGCACAGGTGTGCATGTATCTGTTCTTGTCCTGGCTCTTACCTCTTTAGGATATATACCTGTAACATTTCCATTGGTCTGGTCTTGACTTTTTTAAGACATAGCATCTCCTTCCTCTCTGCCCTGTGCAAACTAACAAGGTAACTGCTACTTTAAGATTAAGTAAAGGAATTCTTCAATTAAATGCCTGCCTAAATGTGCCAAATGTGAGTGACCAATATGGCAGCATTGAGGATGAGAAAGACATAGAGAGTTACATGGGCAGTACAGACAACAAATATGAACCCTTTTGCATATACAGTACTGAGTTGTCAGTGAAAGCAAACATGGGTATAGGGACGGATAGATAGGTGAACAAGCTAAACAATTAGGTATGTCTAAATGGGGAGTGTATCCAAGATCATATATAGGGTTGGCAGACAATGGGCCTATAAGTTCATGTGAATGATCAGAATTCCCAGGTGTATAGTAGAGCTGACAAGGGGCAAAGTTATGGTCATTGCTTGGTCACAGCCAGCTACCCAGAGGGACCTGTGGCTTGAGACCATAGTCGCAGGGGGCATCAAGCTCAACTGGCATAACATACTATACAAAACATTGTTCTACCTACTACTTTGGCGAGTAGCGACTGGGATCTTAAAAGCTAGGAAGCTGCCATCTAGATGCAACAACGGGTCTCTCCTCGTCAAGAAGAAAGAAGAAAACCAAAATTAATGGAAACAATCAGTCCTAGCGACTGGTACACCATCCGATCTGCAACCTATACAACTATGAGACCAGAAGAACTAGATGGTGCCCAGCTGCCACTGCCATCCACTTGGAAGGGATGTAGGAGATCCTGCATAGAGAGGGAGAACAATGTGGAAAAAAACTCAAAATCATTTGGAGGCAAAAAAAAAACAAGGTGGGGACCAGGTTTGCTGGTCCAATAGAGCCTGGTGTAACCACTGAGACTATGGCCCCTAGCTGCCCTTCAGGTCTGGAATTGAACCCACACCTGTGGTTTCCAGCCAAAGAAAGTACAGGCATGTGAGTTAAACATTTACCTCAAGTAGACACACGCCCTGGAGAGAACAATCATGGGAGAAGGAAGGGCTGCTTATGCACAGGGAAATAGCTCAGGGTACAGAAGAGTATGAAGGGATGGACACTGGGAGGAGGTAACTATGGGGAGGAAGTGGGAGGGGAGCTGTTGCATTATAAATTTGGTCAATGACATGAGACAAAGTATATGTGAACTGCTGTATGAAAAGTGAATTTACTTTGTAAATCTTCACCCAAATCCAAATAAAATTAAAAAAAAAAAAAAAATGCCTGCCTACCAACCCCAACTGTAGAGACTGAATATGGAATGTTGCAATGATTGATGACAATCCAAGATTTTGGAAAAAATTTGCATCGCTTAACAGATTTATAAATGCCTTCTAACATTTCCTTCCCCAGTGCACAGAAACACGTATTACATCAGGCTTTGGAATGTTTAGCAAACTAATGAGATTTACTTTTTCTGGTCACATGTTTAATGGAGAAATAGTCAGCATCCGTTTATGCTGGTCGGTAACAAACAGGATTATGGCATGCAGTAATTTGTGTGGAAAAGTGTTTTGTGGGTAGTAAAACCCCAGATCATTGCTGTTTTGTGGTTAGAAAATGAACATTTAAAAATCACCCTAAAGGGAAAATGTCTGCAAGTTGAATAGAGTAGTTCCAAACTTTTTTTTTTTTAATGGGAAGAAAAAAAACAGGGACAGATACGGATGTTGCAGCTGGGTCCTTGCAGGCTATGTCCGGCTGTCATAACAAGCCCCAGATCTCAAGGACTTAACCCAGTAACTGTTGCTGCCCTGCTTACCTCGGGCGGCGCTCTGTCTGTCTGCCAGCCTCTGGTCAGTGTCCACTAGAGCAGCTTTCTGGATCTGGGCCTCCACCACTGTGGTCACTGGGGCCCCTGCCAGCATTCTTAGGCTTCTTTTCAGAAGTGACAGGTCACTTGCGCTCTCGCCCACTGGCCTGCACGGGTCACGGGGCTCTGCAGACGCCAGGGAACATGTTAGGTGTTCTGTGGCACAGCTTGACCGTCTACTCTGAGGCGGTCTCAGAGACCCCACCAGGGAACGTGTTAGCTGTTCTGTGGCACGGCTTGACCGTCCACTCTAAGGCAGTCTCAGAAACCCCATGCATCAGGTGACCCGATGGAGACCCTTTGTGGGACCTTGAGGAAATTTGCTCCTGTGGCCTGTCCCTTCAGTTCACAGTAGGATGACTGGCACGTTGAAGGACACAGCCTCGCAGCCTATTGCAGCTGTCATGGTATGAACGCCCAGTTCCCTGGTGGGTTTTTGTAACCGGTGGCCCTGAGCATAATCAGCTGCCTCATGCACTTCCTTTCAGGGCAGGTTAGGCCTCCAATGGGGTATTTGTTTTTTGTTTCAATTAGCATTTGTTTCTCAGCCATTTCTGGAATTCGCTGCTGAAGGTAATTTATTTTGATGGTACAGATCTTTTCATATGCATTGGTGGGGTTCCACTCACTCAGAACCCCGGCTCACTCAGAACCCCGAGTCAGTCAGAACCCCAGCTCAGTCAGAACCCCGAGTCAGTCAGAACCCTGGGCTTAGGCCAGTTTGTAAAGATTAACTCACTGCCGTTGAGTCAGTCTGACTCATAGCGATCCCTCTTTGGGTTTCCGAGGCAGTATCTCTATGGAAGTAGATTGCCTGCCCTTCTTTCTGAGGAGTGGCTGGTGGGTTTGAACCGCCAGGCTTCTGGTCAGCAGTCAGGTGCCTTAGGCACTGCACTGAGGTGGCATTGGGACCAGCTTGTTTGTGAGGCGCTGGTGTCACAGCTGAGGCGCAGCAGAGTCCCAGGGCCACTGTGTCACCTGATGCCAGCGGCAGCTGTGAGAGGTGACTGGGAGCAGCTCCCGCCTGCCTCTGTGCAGGCGCTCAGACCCGCCTTGGGGTTGGCACCCTTCCACACACCTCCCCCAGTCGGCACCACAGCCAGCATGGCTGCAGCAGTTGACTGCTCCAAAGTCGGGGACCTGTCCGTTGCTCATCCAGCGGCACCGTTAGGGCAGGGAGAAAGCAAGCCAGACTGAGCCAGTGCGTGGCTGCTGGCAGGCTCAGCGCCAGGTCACGGAGCTCCTCAGTTCACTGACCCGAAGATAAGTTGTCCGGTTTTAGAAATGGGCAAAGGGCTGGGTCAGACAAGTCATGGAAGGTGGCCTGATGCCCTGTGGGCACATGAAGGACACTCTACCTGGTGAGCCCTGATGCGTCAGCCCAGGACTGCCCTGTGGAGGGTCTTCAGCGACTGCTTTGTAAGAAGCTGGTTATCAGGCTTTTCTTCCAAAGTGCCTCTGGGTGGACTTGCACCTGCAGCCTTGTGGTTAGCAGGCAAGCTTATTGCTTCTTTGCAGGGGTAGATGACCCATAAGCAGGTAAGCACAGGCTTACTTGGGCATACTTACTAACCTGTAGTAACACAGGTCACCTGGACTGTTTACTACAGATTAATAAGTAAGCACAAGTAAGCCTGTGCTTACTTTGCTTATTGGGTAACCCAAGAGAGTTTCCATCACCCAGAGGCCCCTGGGTGTAAAGTGTGTAAAACCTCAAAACCCACTGCCATCAAGTCGATTCCGACTCATAGCGACCCCTACGGGGTTTCCAAGGCAGTGAATCTTCATGGACTAGAGTGCCTCATCTCTTTTCCCACCAAGTGGCTGATAGGTTTGAGCCACCATTCTTCCGTTTAGCAGTCAGATGGCTCAGACACTGTGTCACCAGAGCTCTTTCACAGTGCGTATAGCAGAGTTACAGCAATTGCACAGCAGTTCTCGAGGCGAGAAATGAGGACAGCTGAACCTGCCCCATAACCACTGGCGGTCACCCTTGTTGCTAGGCAGACTGTTACCAAATGGAATTTCTTTTCTTTTTTTTATTGTGATTTGGATGAAGATTTACAGAGCAAATTCACTTTCCATACAACAGTTCACATATACTTTGTCTCATGTCATTGACCACAGTTTACCACAATGCAACAG